CTCTCCAAGAGCTTAGGGAAACAGGCACAGAGCTTTTCTGACCGAGCTGGTGATGAGGGCATGGTCAGTGGTGCAGTTTGGAGGAAGAGTGTTTGTTCTCAGCTTAAACTCAGGCTTTGGAGGAGGAGAGAGAGTGTTAGGACAAGAGAAGCTTGGGGCACTCCAGCCTGTTGGGGAGTGGGGACACCTGTAACTTTCCAGTCTTGGGACCTCAAAACATCTTGGGTGATTGCAGGGATGACCACAAGGGCTGGCAGCCTTCTCCAGGAACATCCGACAGCTTTCCCCTCCTCTTCCTGCTCATTTCCGACTTCTGCTTTCTTGGTCCTTGCCAGGCACGAGAAATGAAGAAGCAGCTCATTGATGACTTCCTTTCCCAGAATAAGTTCCTCATGGTGGCCAGGCTCACCAGCCAGAGGCTGTTCCAGGAGCTGTGTCCTGTGAAAAAGTCTCACCGTCAGCGGAAGTAAGTGAGGGGTTCCCATTTTGTTTCCCAAGGCTCTGGCACTGCTCCTAGAGTCACTTTTGGTTTGTCACTTTGTTCTGCCAAGAGGAAAGGGGTTGGTCATTCCCTCTCACCTCCAGACTGGCTCTTAATCTGCATCTCATTGTGTCACCCAGGCACTGCGTGGTCTTGCTTACCGAGGAAGGAGAGAAGTTTGCTGAGGCTTATGAGGCATTTTTGACTTTTGCTGTTGCCAACACAAAAGACACGCTGAGGTTTGTGCACATCTACAGTGATCGGCAGCCAGAATTCGCAGACGCCTTGCTGATGGATGAGGAGAAGTATCGTGGAAGATCAGCTGTGAGCGTTTTATTTTTTTAATCTCTTCTTCTCTTAGCCTGTCATTTAATTGATGTTGTACCTTGATGTGATACCTGATTCTGGGCAGTGGTTTGAAATGAATCGTCTGTCTAGAAGAAAACAAAAGCCCCTTCCTCTCTGATGTGTGCCATGCTCTTGGCTCGTCCAGGTGGTCATTCTGGAGAGACGCAATAATGCAGGGAAAATCGCCTATAAAGTCTTAGAGGAGGCCTGGCAAGGCAGCAAAGAGGACAACTTCATCCTCCTGGATCTCCTGGACCAGCTGAGGACAGACCCTGGCCTTCTGTCGTCAGAGACCATTGTGGCAGACCTGAATGATGAGCTCGCTCCTGTAAGTGCACAGCCTTTCCAGATGCCTGACTTTGTGGACAGTCCCATTATGGTTGTTCAGAGGCATTGTTTTTATTTTAAAATAACAAGGCAAAACTCTTGAAAGATTTCTTGCTTACAGAAGGAATCTCATGGCATGCTGTGAACCTGTTGGGGCTCTTTATAGCAGTTTTGTCATTTCATTTTTTGCTTTTCATTCTTTTCAAACAGATGTTCCTTATCCGATGGTTCTACTCCACAGTGGACTACATCTCAGACTGGTGGGACAGTTTGTTTCACAGTAACTGGTATGGATTGGGCATCCATTGTTGGTATTCATAGCTTCCTTGTCACCTTATTTTAACACAGATCCAATTTGAGCATCCTTTTGGGTGGGAGCAGGACAGCACTCAAAAATGTGATGGCCTTTAAGACCCAAGAAACAAGCTGTGTTTCTGGGGAAGGCACATTGCCTATGTTATCTGACATAGGCAGGAACTGAAATCAAGGTGGAAGATGTGAACTCACAGATCTGACTGCTGTTTGCACATCTTCCCTCAGGCGAGAAATGATGCCACTCCTGTCCTTGCTCTTCTCTGCGCTCTTCATTCTCTTTGGCACTGTTATTGTTCAAGCTTTCAGGTGAGTGTGCACCAAAATGCCCTCAGGGATAGCTCTACAGTCCAGCCCCAAAGCCTTAAACACGCACAAAATGCCTTTCCTCTGCAGTGATTCAAGTGACACAAGGGACACTCCACCCTCGGGGAAAGAAGAAACAGCCACAAAGACGGAGAAGAACGACGCGAGCTTCAGCAAAGAGAGTAACAGGTTCCCTCTCTAACTTTTCCAGAATGTTTTCTGCAGAAGCATTGCTCAGGGAGCACCTGTGCAAGGGGGGTTAGTAAAGAGCAGAGAAGTGCTGAAGTTGCACATAGTGCAGTTGTGCAGGGCAGTGCAGGCACAGCAAGGAAGGAGGACCAGTGTGCAGCCAGAACCCAGCCAGCAAGGACAAGGGGACACTAATATGCTTATTAAACAGTTCCCACCAAGTTTGCCCAAGAGAGCATTCTCAGGGGAAAGGGAAAGGTCTGACCCACTCATTGAGAGAGGTGCAAACCAAGCTATTGCACCAGTTACATTGGCTTTTGCTACAGGGCACAGGGATGGCTCAGCATAACGGGCTGGCAGATGCACTCACAATTTCTCCATCTTTGGTTGCTCCCAGTCCTTTGCCCCCCTTTCACTCGGTGTTTTTGTTGCAGCAGGATTCCCAAAAAGAGCTTTGTGGAGGTGACTGAGCTAACAGACATCAACTACACCAGTAACTTGGTGCGCCTGAGGCCAGGGCACATGAACGTTGTCTTGATCCTGTCCAACTCCACCAAAACCCCCCTGCTCCAGAAGTTCGCCCTGGAAGTCTACATGTTCACAGGGTAGGCTGGGCCCTCTCCCAGGCTTCTGTTGCTGTGTTAACCATTTGTGTGATGCTGCTGTGGTGACACGTCAGGAGTGGGAGTGGCTCCATTGTTAGGAGTGAATGCTTCTGTTGATCAAAGCGGCCTCTGCCCTCATCAGTGGCAATGAGCCACCAAAAACCAAGAGGCTGTTCCCAGCCAGACTTGGTGGTGGTAGCCAGAGGGGTTGGGTCCTGGTGCCACTTTGACTGCAGCCATGATTTGACAAATAGAAAGCACAACAGTGCTGCATACATTGAGCTGAAAAAGGAGCTGCAGCAACACAGCTCTGGGCTGTCCTTGTTGACAATTCCTTACCTGTTCAGTAGGAATCCAGCCAGACGCAGGACACGTGCTAATCCCAGTATCTTCTCTGCTCTTCCCCCAGAAGCAGCTCTCTTCACTTCTCCTTCCTCAGCCTGGACAAGCACCGAGAGTGGCTGGAGTATCTGCTGGAGTTTGCACAGGATGCGGCCCCCATCCCAAACCAGTACGACAAGCATTTCCTCGAGCGTGACTACACAGGCTATGTCCTGGCTCTGAACGGCCACAAGAAATACTTCTGCCTCTTTAAGCCTCACAGATCAGGGGACGAGGGGGGAACCCTGGGATCGTGCGAGGATTACGATGCTTTACAACATGTGGAAGCCAGAGGGAAATCCTCCTGCAGCCCGGGATCTAGATCCATTAAAAACAAATTACACAAATTGTCCTTTTGGATGGAACGCCTTCTAGAGGGTTCCTTACAGAGGTTCTATATCCCCTCGTGGCCTGCACTAGACTGAGGAATTTTACAGAGATTCTAAGGGGACAAACTTTTTATGAAGATGACAAGGGACAGCTCTTTCCAGGAATACTCAAACAAGCTTGCTGAATGGACTTTAGGTTTTAGATTAACTTTCCTGGGGCCGGCAATTAGAACACACCTCCCGCCTCTGGAGCCCGGGAGCGCAGCCAAGCGCGCCCGTGTGCCCTCCACCGCCCCGCCGTGCGTTTGGACGCTCTACAACCCCAGAGCCAAGAAGTCCATTGTGCCCCTCTCGTCCTGCCACGTCTGCTTCCCGAGTCGCCCCCATCCCACCTCTTGTTTTACCTCAGTTGAAGAAATCCATGACCTCCCTGGGTCTGGACTAGCTGTGGCCGGTGATGCAGGCCGGGTCATGGTACTCCCTCCCCGTCCCCGTGTGCTTAGCCCATGGTGCATGGTGTAACTCTGGCAAGACCCTCCAGACCCTCCAGGCCCTGCCCTTCCGAAAGGCCTCCTCCCACCAGGCAGTGGCACTCTCTCGGCTTTCCCCATGGTAAGTGATGCAGAATCCAGTTAGGAGCATCTCCCTTGTAGCAAACCTTAGCTGGGACCCCCCCGTGGTGCAGGCTCGTGGGCGATCTGCATGTTTCATGCTCCTCGTGTCATGGTTCCACCTGCAGCTTCACTGGCTGAACCATAACAGGGAGGGAAAGGGCACGGCCGTAAAATACTGTCAAAGTGTTGAGTCATTTAAATGTCATGTTGATTTTCCAGATGCCTTTTCTGCTTCTGTCGATTTTAGACGATGTATCCTAGAGCCATAATTTTACCTGCGTCCTCAGATTGTAGGCGTGAGCTGCTATGAGCCAGTAGATGTGTAAAAAACTCTACATAGCTGCCAGGGAGTCACCTGGGCTCCTTGCAAACACCTTTCCAGCTGTAGTACGAACCAACCTTCCTTTGTATCAAGGAACCTCATCCTTCAATGATTGTATTCTTGAAATGTTGCCCCAGAAGTGCTGTATCATCAGACTGTTGCGTGCGTGTGAATCTCCTTTGGTTTAGTTGGAGGTTGAGATGTTGGGTTTCAGCCTCTCACCCATTTCCTTCTTACCCCAAACCTCCATTTCCGCACACTCAGGCTGCTCTCGTGGCTTTGTGTTTGTTTGCTTGGGTATTTCTTTCATCTTTTGGAAGCATTGGGGGTGTGTGAGGTTAGAGCAGCTGCACAGCCCTGGGTTTGGACATTGCTTCGCTGCAGCAGTGCCCCAACAGCTGCTTCCAGCACCACAGGGAAAGGGTGCCCCTGGGTAAGGCAGAAGGATGATAAACAGCAGCCTGGTGGCTGCTTAACACCCCTTGAGTGACATAGTGAGGCAGCAGGGCTTCTCTTTGTGGCAAGGACTGAAATCCTGTGAGGTTTGTTCTTCCTTTCCACTGCACCGGGGCTGACATTGGCACCCAGGCCTCCTCCTTCCATGGATCTGGAACCCTGTGGCACCATCAGGCTCCGGCATTGCCAAAGCACAGGGATGGGGGCCAGTGGCCTTTGTCACAGGGCTTGGAGCACAGAGCACTCAGTGAACACATGGTGTTAATTCCAGACTCAGCCCTTGCCACTTTAGTTACCATCTTAGCAGAGCAGCCAGTCAGTAGGAATAACTGCCAACCCCTGAGCTAGCTGCTGATCCCGCAGAGAAGTTGGGAATGCTCCAGTCATTGCACTCCCTGTGTGCCCTAATTGCTCCCAAAGCCCTGCCTCATTGCATTTCCCCATCCTGGGAGCAGACTGGCATGCTCCAGCCCCCACAGGTACCTCAGATCCCCTGTACAACGTGCTTCAAATAAAGGCTGCAATACTACAAACTATCCCTATGTGAGGTTAATTAATGTGAGTTAATTCCAGCCCAGTGCACTCTGGGCCATGGAATGAGGCACTAAAGTAGAGGGAAGGAAGGAAGGAAGGTGAAGTCTTCTCCCTGCCCAGGAGCTCCTGTGAAGCTCCTGTGAAGGCACACAGGCAGCGCTGATAGAGAGCAGAGAGGGAGTGAAACACCAGCCTGATGCTTCCAGACTTCATTTCCACCTGGCTGGAGCAATCACTGCAGCACTCCTGCACTTTTCCCACAGCTTGCCATGCAGGATGTGGTTGGAATAGTTTTTAGCCCAGCAGAAGGCTCCACATAACATCTTAAACATTTGCAATAGCAGAAGAATGCTCTTTGGCTCTCTGCTGTTTCTTCAGCTGATCAGAAAGAAGGAGAAAACCCACAACTCATGAAAAAGTGCCTAGTTATGCTACAGTGAGGGAATTCAGCCCAACCCTGAGGAAGGGGAGAAGGCTTTATGGCCTTCACATCCATTTTGTGTTGCATGCTGCCAGAATCATTGGGTTTATTTTCTTTTTAGCACAGGTAACCTCCCCTTTCAGCCAGGGAGTGTTTGCATCAGTCCACTGGTGCTGGCTGGGGCTGGACAGGAGCACAGCTCCTGGATTTTTATGGAAATTTTGCCTAAGTGAAGCAAAAGCCAAGCTGCTCTGCCCCCTGGTTAGTGCCAGCATGGCACTCCAGGTGTTTGCTGTCTTGAGACCACAGTCAGAGCTGCTTATCCCAGGATTTGCCCTCTCCCAGCAGCCATGAACCATCACCCCATCATTTTCTGAACACTTGTGATTCTGTTCCACACGTGGTGATTTGTAATCCAAAGATTGAGGAGATTGGGTCCTAGTGCACTTTCCTAGTGAGATTTGAGCGATGGCACAGTGCTCAGAGCTGAGGGAAAGGGATACAGGCCCCAGAGTGGAGATTGTTCCCAAACTCCTTCCTGTCTCTGTCTCTGCCCTTCACCCACAGCAACCAGGAGCCAGGACACGAGCGCAGCCTGACAAGTAGGACTGAGAACTAGGTACCTATTTTGCACTTTTGATACTGGGAGGGGGGAAATTAACTTATTTGGCAAACTTGTATTTTTTATTTTTGGGGGGTTTTGTTTTGTTTTTGTATTTGTGATCAGGCACTGATGTCATTTTGTTTTAAGACAATTACAGTTTCGCAACCAAAATAAACTATTTTAATGTGTGATGAGGTGGCTCTGTGTCTCCATGTCCAAACTAACCTCACCTCCATGTCCTCTCAGAAATTTCAGGAGCGTTAAAACTGCTCCTGCCATAGGAAACTCCTGGTTATTTCACCAGCAGGCAATCTAGACAAATATCTCCCTACTCTCAGCAGGAGGCTCAGGCCCCCTCCATGTCCTCCCTTCTTCCAAATTCATTATCCTGCTGCAGCATCCTAATGGGACAAATCATTCACCAGTGAGAGTTTTTCCAGGAGTCCTGTGAGCTGGGTGAATCATTCCAGAGGCAAAATGGCATTAGCCTCATCTATGCCTTTCCCAGGCCAGCTCCAAAGCTCCAGACCCCTGTTAAATGGGGTGTCTAGCCTGTTCCCTACAGTTTCCCAGCTAAAAAATACCTTTTCTAGTAGTAAATGGCATTTATTTCATGCTGCAAAACCCATGCTGGCTGCAGCTGTCTGAAGGGAAGGGGGCATGGAAAGCCTGGCTGAGAACACAGAGAAGCGTTGCCCCAGGGCAGGTGGGAACTGCCCTCACAGTGTCTTCACTCCTGGGAGGACACACAGCATCTCAAACAGTAGGTTTGCCCCCAGGAGGGCTGTATTGCCTAAAAAAACAAGCACAAAAAGGAAATCTGTGTTTATCCAACAGCTTTCACCCACAGGCACCTGTGCCAGGCACTTGTCTTGCCCTCAGGCATCTTCAGACTCACCAGAGACATCATACATTGGCGCAACTTCCACAAGGTCACACCCCACTATGTTCAGGCCTTTGCAGCCACGAATAATCTCCAAAGCCTAGGGAAAAAAATGGATTTGGGATCAAGAAACACATCTGACCTAACAGACTGGTCCAGGCTCTGCTTTCCCCATATTCCAGTAAGGAAACCCAGCCTCTACAGACGAAATCACATCAGTTCCACATTTTCCTTCCCACCACCATGAGGAAACACTTCCTGGCCTCCCTAACTTCCACTTTGCTGTGCTGGTGAAACGACCTCCCTTAAGGGAGCAAAAGAGCCCTTTCCCCCTGGGCAGGGCAGCGTGTCCCTCACCTGTGCAGGTGTGAGCCCGGCTATCTCGGGGGTGCCGGTGCCCGGGGCGTAGGCGGGGTCCAGCCCATCGATATCGAAGCTGATGTACATCGGCCTCTCCCCCATCTGCGCCCTCACCTCCCTCATCAGCGGCTCCAGGGACTTCATCCAGCACTGCTCAGCTGGGACCACGCGGAAACCCTGCGGGAGCACAGGAAAAGGGGGAGATGAGGAGCATCCCCTGCCCTGCTGGGGAATATCTACCGGGAACAATCCTCATTCCAGGGCCAAGCTGCAGAAGTGCACCTGGAAACACCTTCCACTCCCCACACAGACACTAACTCCCCACTCAGCTGATATTCAGCGAGCCGGGAGTGCTTGTCCTGCAGACAAGCTGCTGGCATGGAACAAGAGGCAAAAAAATGCATTTATTTCCCGTCTGAAGCCAAGTAAACGTTACTGACGTGGTATTTATGGCAGGGGGAGCACACAGCTCTGTGTGCGGATCAGTTTACCTGTTCCCGGCAGTACTTGTGGGGATCGGGGTCATAGGAGGAGCCTCGGATGCCGATCTGCACCACGCGGCCGCAGTCCAGCAGCCCTTCCTCCGCACAGCGCCGGAACGAGCTCCCGTGGTAGATCCGCTGCCCCAGGGCCATGTCCCCGGTGTCCGTGTGGGCATCCACGTGCACCAGCCCCACGGGACCGTGCCTGCTCGAGACACGGTGGCCACGCTAGTCCTGTCCCGTGTGTGGTGGCCCTGCCAACAGCAGGGACAGCAAACCTGGAGCCTTGCTGAGGCTCCTTCCCAGGTCCTTCCTCTCCATCTCCAGATTAGAAACTTACTTTGCAGCCAGGGCCTGCAGGATTGGGTATGTTATGGTGTGATCTCCACCTGCAAGAAGACACAGGGAAGAGGGGGAATACACTACAGAAGCTGCTCAGTGCTCATTACTTTTGCTCCCAAGTAATTTTTTCCCTCTTTGCATTTATCCTGCACTTATTTATGCAGGGCTTCATTGCCAAAGGAAAACTAACACTGCTGTGTGCAGGTTGCTTCCTCTCCTGGGTCCTCTCTCCTCCTGGTCTTCCTTTTAGGGAGGACCAGATATGCAGAACTGCCAGCAGGGACAGCCTTGGAGCAGGATCCTTGATTGGGCTTATAAATAGATATTTGATCAGCTTCTAGGACGCTGTAACTGGTGACTTGCCCCCCGTTACTCCACACACTGACTGCCTTCAGCAGCACTAATGCCAAGCACTAACAGCTGCGAACTTGAACACGCACCCAAATCAGGCCTTGTGCAAAACCTGGTGCTCACTCAGCTGGAGGGACACAAGGGACAACACCTGCTCTTGCTTTGGGTCCTGCTCAACAGCACACCAAAAACACGTCACTGGTATTATTTGCAGACGGACCCATCCTCCTCATTTTTGACCCAAAGGAAGAAGCATCACAGAACATTCTGTTCAGTGGAGAGCCTGTGAATTTACCCACGATACAGCACAACAGCCCAGGCAGGGAACAGATTCATCGCTTGCCTTCTGCCAAGGCTGGATTGAATGACAGAAGCAGAGGGAGTTGGCAGAGCCAGGACGCAGTGGCAGGAAGGGAGGCCGGGGCTCCTACCCAAGGTGAGAGGCACACAGCCGGAGGCCACGATCTCCTGGTAGGAGTCCCGGATGAGGTGGCAGCTGTCGGGCAGGTTGTAGAGGTTCACGTTCACGTCCCCGATGTCGGCCACCCGCAGGGAGTCGAAGGGTGCG